ATCAGACATTTTGCATTGATCAGATGTAACAAAATGAGGTTGCTTTTGGTGCAAAACCCTCTGATGTCTGTTGGGAAGATTTTTTTTTTTCAAATGTCCTTACAAAAGTCCAGAACTACATCTTACAGGTTATATGTTGGGTTTGTCCAGATTCAGGAGGAACCACGTCTGCGTGGGCAGGGCTCTTTGAAGGATGCAGTCCCTGAAAATATCTAAGACCTAAAAAGAGGCTTTGGAGAAGAGATGTTCTCACAGTGATTAATTTGGAGAACTTTTGCAAGGCAAAGGGGCCAAATATCGACCAATCATGATCAGAGGAGGAGACTGAATGAGAACATGCTTTCTGTAAAATATAAATTTTTAGGTAGCCCACAATTATGAAATCATTTCGTTGCAGCTTATATATATATTTTTTTACAAGATGTCCCATTGTTTGTGGACAAAGTTTATATCAAACTCAGCATGTTATGCTTTTGATACTACTTTGTTTGGGTCAGCAGCACTGTGTTTATAAATGTCTGTCTCTTTGCTTTCTATCTGCCTGCAGCAACGAGGCGTGGAGGTATGCAGGCGGCTTCGCCCGTGCGGTGACCCTATCGGATGTTCTGCTCAGAGGTTTTAAGTGGGGCTTTGCTGCCTTTACTGTTGCCCTGGCAATAGAGTACACCATGTTTCCTCCAAAGAAAGGAGATCACTGATTGTTCGGCATCATGTGTAATTTGATCTTATGATATTCTGTATTTTTTTGGTTTGATTAAATGTCTTTTGATCACCTCATGGATGTTTGGTTTTTTTAATTCTTTATTGTTTTAACATGGAGGGAAAAAAAGGAGGGTTGACGGATCCTTTTACTCTTGCTTCTTCTTCCTGCCCAGTTTCCGGAAGCAGAGTTTCAGACATTTAAATATCAGTGTTACAGTAACCAGCAGCACAGTGGCTAGCAGTGCTACAATGTCCAGGCAGTAGTACTGGAACCAGTTAAGGTCATGAACAGCAGCTTTGAGGTGTTTCGCTCCTTTATGTTGCATCACATATTCTGTCCAGTAAACTGAAAGATCCAGAGGGTCCATGGGGCGATCGTTATGAAGGGCTGAAAGCTGCCTGATGTTCTCTTTGTACCTGAACGCACGGATAAAAAAAAAAAAAAAAGGTTGAACTGAAGGACATCAAGTTCACATTCTGAATCCAGCGGCTGAAATTAAGACCTTCCGGGTGTTTAACCTCCTACCTGGGGTTATTGATGACCTCATTCAGCCCCTGCAGCAGGCTCTCAGTGGTGATGGAGGTTATATCCAGCACCACTCCTGCTCCCCTGCTGGCTATCCTCTGTGCGTTGTCGGGCTGCTCTGCATTCACCGGCACCATCAACATGGGAACAGCGTGACATAAACCCTCAAACGCGCCGTGTGAGCCAGCGTGAGTGATGAAAGCTCGAACCCCAGGATGAGCTGATCAAAGTTAAACATATTTTAGTGCTCCAAACTGTCTTTAGTCATCTTTCTTGATACTTTGAAGCATTTTACCTACCTAACAGGTCATTCTGAGGTACCCATTTCATCATCTTCACGTTTTCTGGGATCTTGCCAGGAACTTTACCAGTGTATCTCCATATCACCTATCGGAGGGATGGAAAACCTTAAAGTTGCATTGCAGCCATTTAAAAAAAAAATATTCACATCCACTAAAACTTTATTATGTAAAGTGGTGCATAATTCTGATTGGAAGGAAAATGGAGAATTTGAACAGGTTTAGTCATTCAGCCCTCCTGAAGCAACGAGTTGCAAGGCTTCCAATGATTGGAGTAAAAGCTGTTAGTCTTTGGATGTACAAATGAATCAGATTGATTGGGAGAGCATATAGAGAATATATTTTAATCCTATCAAAGAGTCTCAGATTAAGCTGAGTCATTTGGTCAGATTTAACCCCTCCCTGTTCAGTGTGTTTATAGGTTCAGGGTCATGCTGGTGGAAGGTGAGCCTTTGCCCCAGTCTAAGGTCTTTTGCAACTTCAAATAGATTCTCTTCTAGCATATCAATCATTAAAGTTTTTTTTTATCACCTTACAAACTGAGGGAACAAAGTGCTGTAGAGGTCCATAGAGATACAAGAAAAAAAATGCAACATTTAAACTAATAGAATAAAGGAAACTAAAAAAGAAAATACAGCTACTGATAAAACTATCCGGATACCTCTGCTCAAGTGGTGTTAAATGCAAATTAAAAATATATAAAATTCTACATCTATAATGTGCTACAACTGAAAAGACCAACAATGCAGGTTCCATGTAGTCTGACCAGCTTTAGAGTTTGCAGCTAATCACCAGGATCCTGCCTTTCCTACCATGTTTAAGAGTATTTTGTTCTGGTGTCAGTTGTTATTTTTTTACTCTGCATTTTACATGTAAGCAGAAAAGCTTGGCTTTGTTATCTGACCCGAGAACAGCTAATTATTAAATCACACAGAGATGAACTTGATTGGTTTAATTCGAAAGGTCAGTGTTTGATAATGAATATAAGAAGCAAAGCGAGATAAAGAAATGTTTCCTTTTTGTTCATATTCAGAGCTATGCACTGCTTTGAGTTAACCCACCATAAAAAAAAATTAAAATGTAACAAAACATTGAAAAAGGTTTGAGGAGCAGGAATGCCACTATTAGAGACCCTCTACCTTCTGTGGAATCTGCCTGAAGGCTTCTAGGAAGGTAGACGTGATGTATTCTGGCAGTTCTGAAAGCATGGAGCCAAGAGTAAACACTACAAACCCATGCTCCCCTGAGATCCACGTCACCAAATCCTGAAATCATGCAGACACAGCTTGATCACATTTTCACATAGTTTCCTCCACTCATTTAGTTTCATTCGGTGATGTGAGTTTTGCATTCGAAATGTATAATTAAAAAAACATCTCACTTCAGGAAGAGGATTCCTCAATTTGCAATTTATTCCACCAACTAGAATAGTATTTGGCATGAGAGGGCGGGGAGAGTCCAGCGTGAAGTCAATCCTGTAAAAAGATAATCTTATAAGATTTAACTTGCATATTGTGCATGAATACTTAATACACATTTCTTCATTTTGAAGGTATGCATGACAATTGGGATGGATCGCCTTATTATTTACACAGACCTAAAGTCAGGTATGTGGTAATCTGAGGGTCAGCAGGGAATTTTAAAGAAAGCTAAATGCAACCATCTTGTCTAGTTAGATGCTTTAACTGTTATAATATAAGAATAATAAAGGAAAAATGTAGAAATGTTCTGTTTATCACCCACAGCTTTGATAAGATGTGCTTGCATGTCGTAGAACACTTAATCACATTATAGATGTTGTAAGAATAAAAAACAATTAATAAAGATACAAAAATAATACAGCAATGATCTTTAAAAATCTGACCTGTGCAGCCAGATATCAGAATCTGAAAGAATCTCTGCGACGCCCACTTTCTCTCCCAGAAATTTGTAGGCTGTCTGGTCGAAGTGCCAGTACAGAATCCGACACAGTAACGGTTCCAGTAAAGCCACCTGCGCGTCAGAAAACAAACAAAAAAGTTTCTTATATAAAAACCCTGGAAAAAACTACTTATAAAATTAGCTGTGGGTTGTTCCTCACATAATTGACTGAAAACTATTTAATGAAGTTTTTTGCAGACAGTGGAACATCTTTTATAAGATCCAGTGCCCTATTTCTTACAGGTCTGATGAGCCGTTTCCCCCTTTTAGACTATAAAGGCTCCAGGAAGAGAGCTCTGGATTGAAGCATTGCAGATGATTATAACATTATTTAAAGGGGCCGATTTATTAATTTACTTAAAAAAAAAATTTGTTATTCCAAAGGAAAATAAGATTAAATGTCTGTGACAGACAGGTGACCTGTCCAGGTTGTACTCTGCCTCTGGCCCATAGACCACCTGAGGTAGGCACCAGCCCCACCGAGACCCTGACAGAATAAGCAGGAGAAGATGGATAGAAATCAAATGTTGTTTTAACTCAAATGTTTTGTTTTTATTTTTTACATGTTGTTGTATATCTTGATGGCTGTAAGTAGGAAGGATCTTTTGTAGTGTTTTGCCCCCGATCTGCACAAGCCTTAGCTCAAGACACACTGTTATTGTTCCACAGTCTGATGATGAGTATGCTCAAATTTTTGCTAAATGTTTTTATTTTTATCAACAATTCTTCATGAAATCATTCTTTCAGGTCTTAGAGGAGTTCATAGAATACATCAGCCTTCTTGATTTGCTTGCTGAGTTTGCTCTAATGCTTTTACCCTAGCAGATGATGGGAGACTAGATCATGTTCTCCACAACAGACTCATGGAATATAGTCTTGCTTCAAACACTGAAGAACCTAAGCTTCCTGAAGAGGTACAATCTGCTCTGTCCTTTCTTTTAGACAGCTTCACAGTTGGATCTCTCGTTCAGTCTTTTGTTCAGGTAAACACCGCGGTATTTACATTCCTTAACCACCTTCACTTCTTCTCACGTGTTGTTAATGGCTTTTTTTTTGTTGTTTTTTGTTCTTTCTTCTACCATTTTTTTCGTTTTTTATTTTTTTTCTTCGGGCCCGGTTGCTTGTTTCCTCACAATACCACAGAGGGTTCACCAGCTCTCTGTACTCAGCTTCTTGTCCATCTATCATGCACCCAATGACTGCAGAGCCATGCGAGTATTTCTTCAGATGACAGGAATGTGTCTTTTACTGGAAGTCGGAAATGTAGAGATTAAAAAGGAATGTTGAGAGTATCATCCCTTGTGGTGAAACTGTGCTGAAATATCATGAAGTTTAGAAGCTCCTGTATATTTCTCAATAATCTCCTGTTTTCCTTCCTGAGGGCTATTTTTTCTTGCTTAGCAGTTCCTTCAGATTACTGTAGATCCAGGGTTTATTATTAGGTTTAACATATTACTCTTTTATGGAAATGGTGTAATCTTCACATAAGTTTATGTAGTCAGTCATACACTGCACTGATATGCCTGACATGGTGCATCCCAGTCTGTACCCAAAAAACAACGTTGCAGGGCTTCCTCATCTTTCTGTGATCATGTTTTTACAATTCTCTTTAATGCAGGTATACTTTTATATAAATTTAAACAAAAAAATAAAAGGTACTGGCAAAAAGTATTTCAGCTGCTCAGCATCCAACACCAGAGTAAAAAAGATAAAATAAAATAGAAAGAAGATAATGTGATCCACAAATAGAGGAACTTAAGTTCTTTTAAAAAAAGAAAAATATAATGTGACGCACACATTTTATTTAATTAAATTTAGTTTGTTTATATAGTGCCAATCCAAAACAAATGTCTCTTCAATGCACTTTACAGAAACAATTCAATCGATTTTAGAATTTAGGATATTATGAGGAAGAAACAAATCATATTTTTGTACCGGTAGCAAAAAAAAAAACAGCATAGATATGTATAGATAACTTAAACTTGGAGGTAATTTTTCAGTTAGGAAAACTAAATGTTTTAATGCAAAGAGATCAGACATTTTTCCTTATCTATGAGTAGATTTACTCACCAAAGTGTTAATGGTTCTCTCCTTGAAGTTCATCTTGTCAGTGAGTCCAGTGAAAAATCGAGGCACATAGGATGGTGGGGCAGGGCAGCCTGCAGCTTTCAGGTCCATAAAACAGGGGATCCCCCTCAGTAAGTTAATAACAGGGACACCTGCAAGAGATTTAGCACATTCTTCTTAGCTGCTTGGTTCTCATAAGAAAATAGTACTTTTTTTTATTATTATTAAGTAAGCATCCCCTAACTCTTCATATTAGCATAAAGTGATCTTAAAGTCAAAAACAAAAATGAGGTGTACAAGAATGATACTTTAGAGCAAAGGAGCGCTTTGGTTGGATCTGCATGGAAACTGAATCAGACAACACTGAACTGGACTCTACGGAAGAGGATTAGGGCCACTGGAAAAAAAAAAAATAGTTAACCGGTAACTGATTTTTAAATTTTATTTCAGTTTAACATGGGAAAAAAAGTCAGAAATCTGACCTTTTTCTCAGAATTCTGACTTTAATCTCAGAATTCTGACTTTTTTCTCAGAGTTCTGACAATAATCACAGAATTCTGACTTTTTTCTCAGAATTCTAATTTTTTTTTCCTCAGAATTCTGACTTTAATCTCAGAATTTTGGATCTTAATGAAGGAAGAGATGTGGAGCACTCAGCTTCACTGACAAAATGTGAGTTGTTTGAGAGGGCCAGTGACAAATTGGCGGAAAATGACGGAATTAGGCAACTTTTTACGTGCCCGAGGGATCCCCTCATTAATGGAGGAGCAGAAGGTCATTAAAACAAGAGAGCTAGTCTCTAAAACAGACATGGCTATGGCTTGATGCTAACATGTTTGTTAGCTGTCAGAATTCTGAGAAAAAATTCAGAATTCTGAGATTAAAGTCAGAAAAAAGTGAGAATTCTGATTTTCTTCCCATATTAAACTGAAATAAAATTTAAAAATCAGTTAACTTTTTTTTTCAGTGGCCCTAATCCTCTTCCGTAGGACTCTGCAGAATACAGCTAGTGGGGAATGATGTCAACTATGAGACAAACAGAGAGTTATA